TAAAAGCCCTTTATTTACTGGGGGGGCTTATCTGGGATCTAAAAGAATCCATTGCCAGGGCTCTTAATCATTACCCTGACACTTGGCAAAACATCCTGCGTTCAAATCTGGGTCTCTCTCTGTATACATCTCACTCTCAGGTTTTTTACCATCCTTGGAGCCCATGAAAACAATGTCCAAACCTTCTTTGTTACAGTCCTTCAAGTATCGGAAGACTGCTATCATGTTTCCCTTGGTCTATTTTTTAAGGTTAAATATATCCACATCTTTGAACTGTTCTTCATTGCATTTAGATTCCAAGCCTCTCGCTGTCTTTGTTATTCCTCTCAGCACTTTTCCCAGTTTCTCAGCATCTTTCTTACATTATGGCAATTAAAAGTGGATACAATATTACAGGTATGGTCCGGCCACTGCACTACAATTCCTGTGATCTTGGCACTATACCTCTGTTGATGCAAACCCAAAATCGCATTTATTCTTTTGGCAGCTGCAGCACACTGCTGGTTTTATGTTTACTCTGTGGTCTAGCAGGGCATCCACATCCTTCTCGCTAGTGCTAAATCAGGGGTCACCTATTTGAACCTGTGCATTCTGTTTTCCCCATCTAAGTTCAGAATCTTTTATTTCTTCCTGGTATATTGACGTTTCTATAAATTGTTTACTAGGGGTGATCTGCTTTTCCAATTTTTATTTACATAATTCATGACACCTTGGCCTTTGATTCTAAAAAGTGCTCTCCCTTACTTTCTTGTTACCTTAGTCTCTCTAAAAGCAAGACAGCATGATATTGTACCCTCATTCACAAAACCTGACACTTAGTTTGTTTTCATGTTGGACAATTTGGAATCAAGATACCAACTGACTCCAGATCAAGGAGGTTGGGCTTCTTTTAAAGTAAAAGGTGGCTTTATTCTGATCATGCAGAAGTTGGATCATTGCTATAAGCTACTTTGTGACTGTCAGTAGATTGCATATACTAATCTGTGTCTGAAATACCCTTGTATCTACCCAAGCATGGATAGACTTTGTTTTGGTAGCTAAAGTACCATATGATTTAAGCTATCATCACTTGATTAAAACTGCATCTGATTCTGTATGAAGTTTTGAACAATCCTCGATACCACAAATATCAAACTTGCCTTCCCAAACTCCCCTTCGCAGAGCTGGAGTAGGAGGTGCGTGATGCATTCGCCCTGCAGGCCAGCCGTTTGACACCCCTGTTCTATAAGAAGCTAGCATTCCGCCCCCCCCCCCCCCCCCCCCCCCCAAGGAAATCTTGACACCCTGGAAGTCTGGGGAGATTCTTTACACCTGGAAAAAAAGCTCCTGCTTAAGGTATTTCTGCCAAGTCTATATTCCAAACTTTCGAAGTTTGTTTTAAACATACAAATATGTCACTGCATTTAAATTATAAATATGTTTTTGATCTTCAATTTCAAACCAGAAATTATAGATTCAGGAATTATTCATTATTCCTAACCTTTGATTGAGATTATTCTGCATTACTGTCTGTGCAAGGAGCGTATGCACCATTACTTTGGGAGTGTTTGGAGGAATAGATTGTCTGGATTTGGATGCCAGTTTAATCCCCCCCCCGCTTTTTTTTTTTTTTTTGGAAGACCCAGAAGCATTATGTCCCTTCCATATTTTATTCTTGTTATTTGTGTATGTATTTTAGAAATGGTATTGTTTACAAAGAACCTTGCAAATTATCAATATTTCTTACCTTCCCAAAGCTCCCTTTTCCAAGCACCATTATAAAGTTGAAGTCTGTCAGTTTAACCTGATCAAGATTATTGGATGGTAAGTTATAAGTCCGGTCTTCAACTGGAGATATAACTTTATTAGCCGATGGGCCAAGCCTGGCTTTCTAAACAAACAAAGAAAATGGCTGTCAGACCTACAGTTTGGTTTTAGAAAGGATGAAAGATCAGGATCAGTTTGAAGGTTTGTACTTTCAGAAGATACTTCATAGTAAATAGAGAACAAACACAAATTCAATCTGCCCACTCAAATATTTCAATTATGGATATAGTTAAACTGATATAAAGTAGTACAGAAGTAGAAGCATCATCTTGTTGGGGTGGGTGGGCTAACAAAGCAAAGTCCAAATAATGTAAGTCATTACTTTCATGCTAAAATTTCAAAATTCAATTGCCTTTTTTTTCCCTTTCAGTCATGGACAGTGTTCAAAAATGCAGGCTTTATCCTAGGTATTGCCACCTGTTCAGATGTAAGAGTCCCATTCAGTATAAAATATTTGATTTTGAGAGTAGGATGGCAGCTTGAATGTAATAATAACATACTAAACATTTTAATTATTTAGTTGAAATTCACACTTCTTACAAGCATCGTTTTTACCAGTTTTGTGTTGTGATTTTTTAAAACTTTAACTGAATAGATAGCATATTGAATAAATCATTGCCAATTATCAAGCATCATAATTTATATCTCATCAAATGCGGATTTCAGTGTAAAAACATTGTATTCCGAGCCTTTTGGTAAGGTTTTTGTGGATTGCAGAAGCATACATTGGAATAACTAAAACAGCAAATCTTTATATAAAATGTTTTTCAGTTCACGGTGTGTTCATTCATGAATGTCTGCAAAGTTCACCTCCAAGAAAATTTCTACCTTAAAATCCAATTGCAAACTTCTTCTATTTTATTTCACTATTTTTTTTATCTGCGTGGGATTTTTAAAAAAAAATGACTAAAAAAAGTCAATTTATAGAATGATTCATATATCTTTCTTCCTCTCTCCCTCCCCTCCCCTCCCTTCCCCCTCTCCCCCTTCCTTTCCTGTCAGACATACGTACATGCTATACAATCATTTCAATACTATTGTGTAGATGCTATAATATAAAGGCAGAAAACTGTCACTCCTTTAAAAAGTTCTCAAAAAAAGAAGCAGCAGCAGCTGAAGAAGAATGTAGGATATCAGGAGCTGAGAAACATTTGTGATGTTTTCATGGTAAAATTTCCTTAAAGCCTCCCACACAACCATCCCACGGTAAGCAATCAAAACTCATGAAGCCCACCAGAACATACTTCAGGGTGTACCATGGGGTGGGCATGTGGGATGTCTTAGCATATCTTAAGTGATGTACCAATATTAAACAATCATTTGATTAAAGAAAAGACACTGGAAATTTTGACAATTTAGTTGGAGCAACAAGCTCCCAAAATCATAAAAGTTATGTTAAGAATTCATATAACGTGTTCACCCCCATTATATTCTATATTGTGAGAAGATATAGCTGCCAGCAAAATGGCCATCACCTGAGCCGCTGGTGACCTGTCCCTTTAATACCTGCCCCGAACCAGCCCAGCAGTAGGTGGCTAAGACACGTGAGCAGAGAGGCAGCTGGATGTTGCTGTGAGAGAGAAAGCTGTTGTGTTTATTTTGGACACTAAAACAACCTGAGCAGCATAAGATAAATAGAAGCATTGCTGTTCTTCAGAAGTAGGGCTCGCAACCAGAAGTAATAGAGGAACAGGAAAAGTGGGAAACTGTAGGGATATGAAATATTACTCAATACACAAAATACAATTAACACGTTCTCATTTTTAAGAAACAAAATATTGTTAATTATTGTATCGTAGTATGTAGTGCATATTTTATCAGTCTTAAAAGATTTATAGTTTTAATTAAAATACCATTTGAAAGTCAAAAACTAATTTCCTAGAACAATTTTACACTATCTCCACAAAACACCATGCAACACTTGGTAATTATATTATGCTTATTTGTTGGGTGATTCCTTCCATCTGCTATACCCCTCCCCCACCGTTGGTTTCAAAAGCACTTATTTCAGACAATGGGCGTAAATAAACTGCTCCTTATTCTACAACTGCAGGAATCTAAAATATTGCATCCTAGAAGTCATATGTCCTTCAGTCATGGTTTCTAACATGGACAGATGGCTCACACTGTCAGGAAGACATTTTCCCTAACGGGAAGGAAAGGAATGAGTTCTGAAAAAAATGATTTCATTGCAAAAGAATTAACATGCTGCATATTTAGTGAAGACATGGATAAAGATAGAAGAGAAACAGGAAGTGGAAAAAGAAGAGTTTTAATAGGCAGTAACAGAATCCAATTCCGAGGAAAAACGCCCAGTTTAAACACTTTTAACTGTGACCAAACAACACAGGAAAAAAAAGTTTAATTTCTAATCTTTCACGGCAAGTTGAAGAAGAGAGCAGTTGAAGAAGAGAGCAGGCTATGAAACAGACCAGTTAACACCAATATAGTAATAGAGAAACATTCTAACATAGATCTTCATTAAAAAATATCTCTTTTAAAAGTATTTCTCTCGTAGTATTAGTTGTGAAGAACACAGGGACCTTTCAAACATGGAATCACAATACTTTGTCTCACTCTATTACAAGCCAAATTTCACACTGCAGTGTGCAACACATGCTAGACAGGTTGTGAGCCCATGCAGGACACTTGCATTGTCTTAGTGAGAGGAGAAATTTTAGACATTAATGAGACTGGCATGTGCATAATCTCAAATTTATATGGCTGCCAAACTCTCAAAAAGTGACTCTGGACAGTGTGCTTCAATTAATAAAACAGTAAGTACATAAAAACAATTATTAAAAAATTAAAAATATATGTTTAATACAGTCAAAAGTATGTTTAACAAAAGATGCCTCTGCTCTTTGGTTTCTTATATAGGTATTTTTTTTAAAAAAAATAGCAGATTCCGTATACACTTGTAGACCAACGGATCATATAAAACCCTTGTGCCAATTCTCACAGCCAAAGTGTGAGCTGAGTAGGACCTCTATTAGCACTATTTCCCCTGTAGTCTTCTGTAAAATATGGAAAGGGCTTAAGTCCACCTGTGACCCTTTTTAGGCCACATGTTTTGTTGATGAACTTTCATCAGTTACCAGAGCTTGATTTTGTTAGCATTGGTTTCTATGTTAGTACAAGCATCGAGTATCAAACTGTCCTAGAGACAGCTACATGCATTTCTCCTGTAATATGATTAGGGCCCATTTTGCATGATTTACTATAGGAATTAATATTCTTAGTACATTCAAACAAACAAACAAAACCCCCACACAAAACCTTTTATTGCAAACTCAAACCTAGGTTTTTTTAAAAAAAATTAGTTCTAATGAGGGAAGGAAAAAAAACAAGACATGCATGTAATCTTACTTTCTTTGGTTTGGACGCACCTTATCTTGGACCTTTCTTTTACCCTGTAACCACAGGCAAGACACACTTTATACATTTTTAACTCTAAGTTATAAACAAAAAGACTATAGTGGTAGAAACAAACTCAAACTCACTTCTACCTATTATAGCAATAGCACTTGGACTTATATACTACTTCACAGTGTTTTTACAACCCTCTCTAAGCAGTTGACAGAGTCAGCCTCTTGCCCCCCAACAATCTGGGTCCTAATTTTACTAGCCTGAGAAGAATGGAAAGCTGAGTCAACCTTGAGCTGGAGAGGATCGAACCCCTGGCAGTTGACAGAGTACGTCTGAAATACAGCATTGTAACCACTGCACCACCATGGCTCTATAATTAGAGAAGCCCATTTCATCATGGTTGTTTCTCAGCTTGGAAACCTGTGTAAATCTCTTTCACGTATCCCTTGAAACTGAAGGGAACTTATGATCTTAATGCTACACACATACTATGTATAACCACAAATTCCACCGCATCATAAATAGGTAAAATTAACAAATGAAGTATACTGATCGTCAAAATCTGTTGTTCAAGTTGTTTCTATAAGTAAACTTAATTTTTGTGGGAAAGCATTTTAAGGCAGGAAATTGCCCTCTTTCCTGATTGGATATTGACAATCACAATCATCATCATCTAAACTTATATGCTGCCCAACTCCCAGCTACTCTGGAAAATTTATATTTGTTAAAAATGTCTAACAAGAGGGGGACTTCATTCCATGTCGTCTGACCTACCAATTTGCTTACCTAACAGTTTCTAGACTGTAGTTATTATCTCTCCTACTTAAGTGTACTTTCTTCCTATCAAAATCAGGTTATGCTTGGAAGAAAGTTCTTCACATGACAATAAAAAGCAAGATTATTCTATCGCATAGATCCCCATATGTTGGATTATAACCTAACCCCAGTTCCTAATTATATAAACATTATCACTAAGGCCAAATGGCATCTGGCCTGATGTTGTCTGACAATACAGCATGCTTAACTTGGTAGGGAAACAAGTTGTGCGAACTTCCCAATCCAGCCAAAGGCTCATAGTTTATGGCTGGGACTATCAAGGACTATACCAGACTTTGCATGGCATATTAAAGACCAAGCTGCAAAGTGGGGCTAAGATTTTTTTTTTAAAAGGGGGGGGGTGAGGGTCCAATTATCAGTGAAATTTTGCTTCCTGAAATCCCTTAAAAATACCAACAGTGAGGCTGAAACTATGGGTCCAAGTTACATTTAAGGAGTCTTCGGAAAGCTGAAAAAAAGGACGCGCTGCATACTGCCCCACTTCTTATATCTCTTATTAATTTTATCAGGAAGCAAACATTACCTCTTGCATTCAAGTAAATTACTGATCTTGGAGAACCAATCTGCATTACTCAATGCAATACTGCTTATATATTAATTTAGGCAGCCAGGCAGATACATATGATAGAAAGATAGATAGATAGATGTGTGTGTGTGTGTGTGTGTGTGTGTGTGTGAGAGAGAGAGAGAGAGAGAGAGAGAGAGAGAGAGAGAGACTATAGACATGCATACACCTATATACATACACATACACTCTTTTCTCAGTTCAGTTCAAACAATGATTGCTACCTTGTCTTCAATAATTTGAAGCTATAGTTTAATGGGATTTTCCAAGAGTGATAACCATAACCTGTCAAT